AGGCTGTGCAGTAGCAAGTAGATCATACTAGAAGTCTGGCAGATGAATTCCCACTTTTACAACTATCTCAATGGGCTACTAATGTAAAATAATCCTCTCAGTAATGAGAAGGAAGGAATGCACAGAGCAGCTAGTAAGGAGTCCTACATGCAACGCAGAGAACACGAGGTACAAAACACCCTTGCTGCCCTTCCCCAGGACTGTGGTTACGCTGTGCTTACTCCCACTCACTAACATGTGGTGGCATTTGATCAGCATTGACCCAGAGGGTGAAGCGCTATTGCTGAATTTGGTGATGTTCCAACTTCGTCTCCTTTGTTCTTCTGAATCTTGTCATTTAAATTTCAATTCAGCCAGCCAATGCTTTGTTTGAGATCTGATGGGAACACAGGAAAACGCAGCATGATTTACGTGTATTAAATTTGAAGGTCTGAAGAAGTGCCCTAAAATTAGACCCTCAGCAGCGATAATCACCATAACCATTCATTTTTCATTGCATTTTCACAAGATTGTTTCTACGACAATACTTTAGGAGGGTTGATAAAAAAATGTGGAAATGTAATCTCATTGCAGAAGATGTGAAGGTAGCTAAGGACACAAACTTTTGCAATTACATCTTTGAAAAGGCATACACTGCTATTATTAATAGGAGTTCAAACCAATTCGAATTAAATGCATAGGATATTCATTTACATCTACTTAAAACCAGGATATAAAGCCCATGGGAAACACTGCTTTAACAATGTTTATTTTTTAAGATACATCTATTGTTGCTTTACAAAACCACTGGAGTATCTGGGCAATTGACAATCTGAAAATAAGCCAGGCAATGCTTAGTTTGGGATTTGATGGGAATGCAGGAAAATGCATGATTTACATATATTAAACTTATAGATCTGAAGTGGTCTCTGAAAGTGGTCTCTCTGAAGGGTTGTAGACAGATCAGGGTTGGTCTCTTCTCCCAGGTAACCAGTGACAGGACCAGAGGAAATAGCCTGAAGTCACACCAGGGGAGGTTTAGACCGGATATTAGAAAAAATTTCTTCACAGAAAGGGTGGCCAGGCATTGGAACAGGCTGCCCAGGGAAGTGGTGGAATCACCATCCCTCCAGGTGTTCAAAAAGTACATGAATGTGACAGCTGGGGATATGGTTTAGTGGTGAACAAGGTGGAACTGGGTTGACAGTTGGACTCAGTAGTCCTAGGATTTTTTTCCAGCTTTAATGATTCTATGATTTCATGAAAATGAAAGCAACCCCTTCCCTATTTGTGACACATAGCTCTATTTCAAGTAAGCTCACATTTCCTGAACATAGCAAGAACAGTTTTTATTTACAGATGCACAGTAAAGTGCTAAAACACCTTTCAAAAAGTCAGTTAGCTTTCAAATTTCAGCAAGGTCCATCTCCTAGTGATCGTCTCCCAGCTTGAGCAACAAGAAGCTTCTCCTTCCAGATGGAGAAGACAATCCCACTCATGTATGACAAGCAACTCTCCTCTATCACCACATACTTTAGCAAGCCACAGTGCACTGCCAAATACAGTAGCGCCCTCTAACCCCCCAAAGTATCCACTCATTTCTGCTCCTGGTAGCCTTGCACACTCCTAGCTATGGCAGCACTGCAATGACAATGATTTGTACAAATCTTTTTCCTCGTTTCCTGTTCCTTGTATCCCAATTACCCCTGAAGCTGAAGGAACTGCTTGAGGTCCTGAGCATATTCTGAGATTAAGCACAAAAACTGGCAAATTAAGGGCATTTTAGCTACACGTGGCTATGTAGAGTAGCATTTCTGTCTCATGGAGAGATTACTTTTGTTTGCTAAATGATGTTTGTTAGCAAAGCCAATTATCTGCATCCACCTAAAACATACTTTAAGAAGGATGTTTTTCTATAAAACATGCTTCAGCTGACATACAGATGTCACTGGATTGAAAGTAAAAAGTATGTCCTATATAAGAAGGGATTAGCAAGGAAAGCAAAGTTTTTTAGGAAAAAAATTAGGATGGTGAATATAGACAAAGAGTTTGAGATAACTGGAAGCAGTAATTTTCACAGATTGCGCTTTACAATTTTTCATTACACAGAACTAGATGATGCATTTAAAATGCAGTATGTCGACTACGACAGGGCCAACACACACTTGAGCATTTATATTTCATATGTGCATCATCCAACTAAGAAGAATGAATATTTCAGAAAATCACCATATGTCAGTGTCAAAAGCATAATTACTTTGCTTTTCTCAATTTGTCCTCCATTTTTTTCTTTTTAGACAGCAATAAATAGAACGAATATGTGAAGAAAGTAAGAATGTTGTGAAATTTAATTATAAAACAGCAAAAGGAAATCTGCTAACTTTCTAAGGAACTACACTGTTTAAAACAATGACACCTTTTCAACAGTAAGCTTTCAAGTTTCATTTTGCTCTCTCAGACCAGACATGAAAGTTTAACAAACAGAAAAAAATGTCAAAATAAGACAATTTAAAGATGAGAAAAATTTGTTCTTCTACTAAAATTTAACATACAATATATATTTAAAAAACCCAAGGAAATTATAGCTAAACCAGCTACTAAAACAAGCAACCAGCCATGAGAGAACTTGAAGTTTTCTAATTCTCAGAAAGAGTGTTGCTGGAAACTCTGAAGTTACGATTTCAAGCAGCGTTGCACTAAGCAGTTGGTCACCTCAACAAGACAGCACAGGACTGCCACCTTGTGAAAAACAAAACCCTTCAGAGCTGTATTAACAGGACAAAACCCAACTGTCCTCAGAGATTATTAAATACTCTTCCCCTACTTTTTAACAGAAGTAATCCATCTATCAACTCTCTAGAAAATTAACAGATTAAAAAATCTTTCAGCATTGCTTATGGTATAAAATTCCTGCTAATTTTGAACACAAACATGTGTTGTCAAAGAACTTAAAAGGAATGAAATACAGAATGCTCACCAATAGCAGAAAATACAGTTCACAGCATAAACTATTATCAAACTTCCTATCTTCCTGAATAATAACGTATTTTTAACTAAAGGAAAAAATTGTCCAATTATTTGTCTTTTTTTCCTCTACCTTAAAAGAATTCAGCCATGCTGTGACGGTTCAGCTATTCTTATTATTCCCACAGTTATTGAAAAATAGTCTTCTTTCTCTCTGAGAAAAACTGAACCTGAGCCTTTATTTTTAAGCAGCCATTATGGAAATGTTTGCTATGCGATTTGTTTTTACCTTGGATATTTTAACAAATTAGTGTGCTTTTATTCTAAATGGATAACTGACTAATAAAATTTACAAGAAATGATCATTTTAATGCTGTCGTAATACATTTCATTGCCAAATGACACCTGCTGAGGAATTACCTAAAGTAAGCAATTATGGTTCTATTGAATCTAGAAGACCTTGGCAACTTAAACCAGGATAAACAGAGTCCTTTCTGTCTGTCTTTAAGGAAAACAGCTAATAATTTACAATCAGGAGCAAAATACTAAAATCCATTTTTTAATGGATTTAAACAGTGCTACTGCTATTTGTCAGTCCTAGGAGATACTCATGGAATTTGGACCTTTCTTTATGAGTAATCATGATATAACCATCTTGATTTCTGGACTGAATCAGCTAACACTGAATATTACCTGTAAACACTCTGAGAACATAGTTTTACTCTACATTCTCCTTTCATACTTTAGTAATTCATGGACATTCCTCTTTAATTAAACTTATATCAACTCAGCCTGCTTTTAAATTAGCAAAATACATTAAGAATAATTGTACTTCTAAATTAAGTATAGTAATAAATCCCAGGATAAAATATTACCTAATCTTCTGATATTGGTTAAAAAGCCCCAACAGGTCACAGACATCTCTCTGCATGTAATTTTTCTAATGTCTTGTGATGTGGAACTCATTAGAAAGGTATTGTGCTCTACATTTTGGTGGACTTTTTGCATTCACTTTTCTCTACAAAAGAAATACTTTAAAACTGTAAATATTTAAACCCAGTTCTTTTCACCTGAAACACAGCTGCTATCTCTGTCAAAAGTAGGAAGTGTGAACAATCTCTTACCAGTGTTAATGAGCAAAGGCATTCAGAAAACAGTAGCAACAGATATCCTGGAAAAAATACCTATATGCACAGGAATTTTTGCAAGAAAATTTTTTTTGTCAAGGCAATGAACACCTGCTCCTCTACATAAAGCAAGAAAAAAACCCTGGATCTAGAATACAATTCAGAATGCTAGCCAGACCCCCATGACTTCCTATGTTACCATTCCAACTCAGTAGTAGTATTTCAGGGCACAAATGAAGTTATACTTTTGAGGCAAATGCTCTTTACCTTATTTAGGATTTTTTTTTCTATGGCATACAGAAACAAAATTGGAAGCAGAAGGCACACAAGATTTCCCCTCCCAATCCATCATACTAAAATCACAAGAACACATCCTGGACACTGCAAGAACCGTACTGGATTCTTGAAAAGCAACTCATTTCAGGTTTCTCTTGTCCCTTCAACTTCATTAAGCAAACAGGGAATGAGTGAAAATGGCACTACGGTACACACATTGGCAACAAATTATCAGGCTGGCAAGAAGCAAACAGTAAGCTGGCAAACAAATTCAATACAAACACAACTACTCATTGAAGAGTGACTTCAGGGTTTCCTTATGAGAAACAGGGTTGCAAAGACATTGGACAGGATAATCTGAGTTCACTACATTCATCATAGTGTTAGTACAGGGAAGGAATTGAGCCAGGACATTGATCTGCATATTGTAAAAGAAAAGAATAACAGTACCGACCCAAGTCTGTAACTCCCCTGTACTGACCTTCTGAGAAACAATCCCATTTCAGAGTGACTTGAGCGGCAATAATCTGGTATGTTTGCATAGATTTGGCTGCAGTATTTTCATTACAGGACAATAATGAATTTAATAAGGCTACACAGTACCTGAAGTTTTGGACACCACCCTCCCCTGCCACATATTTTAGTAATCAAATATTTTTGAGTCTTAATAAAGTCATTTACTGACAGGAACCATTACAGTCTTCATTTATTCTGATGATAATGCACATTAGATGCTTTTAAATATATATATATACACACACATAGTATTTTACCTTTGTAAAACAAAATATAGACACCCAAGTCCCATTAGATATGTATAAATATGGAAAACATTTAAAAGAATAATTCAGTAATGTCATTAGTATTTCTTGAAGATTACACATCAAAGATCTTTGAAACACTCGGCTCAACTTGGGAGTTCACTCAGAGCCAATTTCAGTACAAACTTTTGAGTACACAACCATAGGACATAGGAGCCTGATTATTTAAGAGGGTATTCACTGGGCTGTAATCCACTGTGGAACCACTCGTCTGACATATGTAAATGACTCTACTTCTAATAGGCCACATTACCAACTGCAATTTACCTTTTGTTGTACACTAACATTTATTCCCCAAAGAAGGTACATGCACACAGCCTCCGCTGTGTTTTATAAATATCAGTTTGAAATAAAATGTTCAAAATGTTCCAATGATTTAAGAGCCTACATTCTGTTTGCAAAACTAAATTTACTGACAAAAAAGTAATGAAAATTCACTGGGATGTAGGAGGTTTTGAAAACATTGCAGTTTAGTAGTGGTTCATACCTTGACCATTAGGAAACCTAAAAGGACGTGGCCTGATCCAAAGAATAAATACGCACACGGATAAATAAACATAATGATTGAAATCCCTTTTTCAAAAGGCAACCTCTGAAACATACTTACAAACTGTCATATCTTCAAGGGCATGTTATATAATATTTTATTATAATGAAAAATGATTGTAAACATCTCCCTCATTTTACATCTATTACAGAAAGGTGTTCTCGCACTTTTCCTCATATTGAATTTGTTAATTCTCATAAATTCAATGCATAGAATATCTTCACATTATAACATATCAGATCTCGCATTCAGCTGCAAGAATATAAGCAAAGAGCTTACTTCCCCAATTCCAGATGGGAAAACTAGCCCTTGCATGATGCAAAACATACTGTTTCATTCCAGAGTCCAGTCCCGAAACAGAACTGGGTTTTCCTACCTATAAAAGTATCAAAAAAAAAAAAAGTTACCACATAAACCTCTGTATTTCATCATTGTTTTCCCACCGGAATGTTCTGTTTAGAAAAAGATAAAAAGTTACAGCATTTACTACAACATAAAAAGCCAGCTCCAGAAGTTGTCTATACATAGATGGAAATGGAATATTGAGCCTATATATTAAGAATGGCAAAATAAAGTAACGAAATTCTAACAATTTTTGAGGAACTGTGACTGCTAATAAACACACAAAATACATCAAGATCCAGAATACTGATTTTGATTTTAGTGTATCAGTAAAAGTCCAGCCAGCAAATATATAGAATGGAACTAATACATATTTTACAAGCTCATGTCTTTGGAACACTTTTCTCCAGACATAAAATGTGTAATGTCTGTTATCTGCTAGTAAATACTTATGAACATAGGTAAATTTCCAGATCAGGAATAAGGAGATGATGGTGATTAAGCTGTACTGTACAGGGTGCTTTCGCAATGACAGAAGGAATTTCCTGATTTTAGTAGGGGTCAATAAATGAGGGAATGAAAAAAAAACTGTGAAGGACAGAAAATAAAACAGCTGAGGAAAGTGCAAACAGGCTTCATGGCTACTTCTGTCACCAACAACTATTCCACCATTGATGATAACAAAACCAAAGAAGACAGTTACTAATATGATGTATGGCCAAGTTAAAGCAGTAAGTGTAACTAAGTTTTTAGGTGATATGAGATACTTAATAAGAAACTGCAATATTCTGGTCAAATCTGAAAATGATCCTTTCTTGGAAGAAATCTTTTCATCTTTCTTCTTCTGTAATTCAGTCTTCCAGGCTTCATTTAGCTTTTCTGCCACAACATTTCCAGCACAAAAGACTGTCCACACAATATTCGTCTGACGAAACATGAAGCCACAAAATCCCAGGAGAGCTGATGTTTTATGGTTACCATAAAGGCACATTAAATAGGCAAAGAGAATAAAAAATACTGAACCTGGATCCGTATAATAAAGGAATGTAAAAAAGTAAAGGGTGGGAAACATTGCAAGAATTAATGTAGATAAGATTCTCTGGAAGCCAGACACAGCCTAGAGAAGAAGCAGAAAAATGCGGTTAGCCAATGTCCAACAAAGCAAAATAACAAATTAGAAGAAAATTTGTATCATTCTTGAAAATTCTGTTAACACAATATAATATCTCCTATGCTCTTTGGTTCCATTACTGCACAAATACTGTTTTGTTAACCTCTTGCTATGTTAACATAGTATTGGACTACACAATGTTAAAATCCAAGTGAAAGTACAGAACATTACTGCAGGTGAGTTAAAAACATGGCAACAAAAATACACCAACTTCTTTCGTATGTCAGGTGTGCACATATTTGTGGCATTAAAATCATGGCGGGAGCATAATTGGTCCCATACCTAGGATGAAAGAGCTACACTAATGGGCAAAAGGAAATAAAATCAATGTTTTATGCCCCTGCAATCTCATCATCAGATTCTGCTTATCTGTGAGACAGCACCGTTCTATGCCTCTACTATCACCTCTTTTGAACCCAGTCCATGAGTGGCCAGCTCCAAGTTTCTAATCTTCAGTGAAGCTTTTATTGTTTATCCTCATTATAATTCATGCGTTAGAAAAGAAACTTTAAAAAAGATAGAAGACCATACAGTTAAAAACTCCTCCTAATTATCCCACTCACAACATGATGCAACATAAATCACAACATTAAAAAATTTTGCATGATGTCTCTGAATGATGTAGCGTGGGGTGAGACAGCGACTTACCACCTTACAGAAAAGAGGAATAGACAAAATGTTGAGCTCAAAGAAGTGTCAAAAATACCATTACATTTCCCAAGGCTTAGCCTACTGTTATAAAACCTTTTTTTACATTTATATTTCCACTTCCAAGTACAAAATTAAGTGTTCTGAAAATGGAAACAATTTATTGGATCTGATCCAATTCTGTAGAGTGGATGTGCTTAAACATGAAGAGGCTCCTGTAAGAAAATACATCAAAAGAAATTTTCTTTATAGAAAAAAGTGTTTTTAAGGTTAAAAGTCAAACACTAAATAACTTTCCTAAAGTTAAAGATTTTTGAATAGACCGTTAACCACTGAAACAATTTACCTACTGCAGTGGTGTATTCTCCAGAACCTTAAATATACAGTATTTTTGTATCCAAGTTGAACTGTTATGGTCTGGATGTGTGGACAGCTAGACAGGTAATAACTGTCCCACTGTACCCAAAGGACAGTAACAATCAGAGTATCACAGCATCTATACTGGGACCTGTCCTGTTTAATGTCTATGACTAGAAGGCAGCAAGTGTACACTGTCATCAAGTCTGTAGTTGACACTATTGGGTCCCACTTGGGTGGGACTAAGCATTTTGCTAAAGAGCAGAGGTACCAGATTGACCTAGACAGGCTGGGGGAATGGGGCAACAAAAATATTACAAAATTCAACAAGGACAAATCCAAATGCCTGCAGCAGAAAAGGAAGAAATCCCCACAATGAGGGGCTGCTGCTCTGTGGAAAGGTACCTGAGGGTCTTCACAGGTAGCGAGGTGAACATGAGGTGGCAGCATGTCCTGGCACTAAGGAAGAGCAACAGTCTCCTGGACTTCATTAACAAGAGTAGATCAAGAGAAGTTATTATCCCTCTTTACTCTACTTGTTAGGCTGCACCTAGAATACCACGTCCAATTTTGTGCCCTGATAAAAAAAGTCCTAGTAAACTGTAATGGCAGAGAGCCACCAAGACAGCTTGGGGCTGAAGAACCTGCCCTGACAGGAGAGGCTGAGGGAGCTGGCCTTGTTCAGTCTGGAAAACAGATGGCCTGGGGGGACCAAACAGCAGCCTACCAATACACCTAGGATGTCATCAGGTAAAGAGAGCCAGGCTCTCGAAGTGGTACACAGTGAGAGGACAAGAAGCAACAGGAATAAAGTGAAATGAGAGGTTCAGACTGGAATTATGGACAATCTTTTTCACCGTGAGGCTGGTCAGTCACGAAGCAGATTGCCCAGAGAGGTTGTGCAGTCATCCATGTAGAATTTTCCAGGCTCCAGTCCTGAGCAAGCTAATTGATCTCAAGACTGGCCTGCGCTGGGATAGAGGGTGGCCTTCCTAAGGTCCATTCCATCCTCAATCATTCTCCAGTTTTTTGCAACTTGAATTATTCTCCATTTCTAAATACTGACATCAAGCCTAGTATCGTTTTAAAGAACTGGTCTTAGTTTAAACACAGCCCACAGGGCTGCAGGATTCTGCAGTTGAAGGTTTATGAAGAGTCTTAAGCAATTCCAACTAGATGAGCATTCAGACATTTGGATAGTAAGTCTGTATGCATACTAACTACCTTTTCTTTCAATAGGACTCCTTATAGTTATGTGCAAGAGTAAATTTTTAGAGGATTGCACCTTGAGCGAGAAAAACAGAAATTAAAAAAAAATTTAGAGAAAAGGAATGGGCCTCCTCGGCCAAACTGGTGGCAGTACTTATATAAAACTGAGGGCAGCTCACATATGTAGTATGTAGTGAAAGGGACATATACTAAGCCATTGAAGTTGCTTGTACGACTGCATACAACTATTTTACTTTGACCATACCTTATTCTTCTGATGGATTTTGAACAGAAGCAAATACAGTAAATAGAAGTTCCCAGCGCTGAAGAGGAGGTTGATAAACCTGAGCATTCCCACAGAGCACACCACGCTCCCGGTCCATCCGAGGAGCCACGCCGCGGGCTTCACTACTCCCACCGAGACCAGGTACAGGCCGGGCAGCGTGGTGATCATGGGGTCCCACTGCACGGCCGAGAGACAGTGAGAGAGACAGACATAGAGAGACAGAGAGGGTTACGGAGCAGCTCCCAGAAAAGGGGCCAGAGACACGCGATGGTTCGGGCACACCACCCCCGCCACGGCCCGCTCTGTCAGCCCGGCTGTTCAGCGGACCTCTGGCATTATTACACTGAAGGTTTTGAACGCTGTGTGCCCTGGCGCTGCTGCCCCACCAAGGGACAAAACGAGCGTTCGGGCAACAAGGACGGCAGGTGAGTCCCTGCGTTCAGACACCCTCGACCCGAGCGACAGCTACGCTGCTGCTGCAGGGATGCTGTAAGGATCCTGACCTGCAGGAAGCGGCCGTGGCAATAGGCCTGCGCCTGCGGGACGTGGAACACCTCGTCCATGTAGGGCTCGCGCTGGCGGCGGCTGATGGCCGCGAAGAGCAGGCAGGACAGCAGGAAGGCGCCGCTCATGGCCCCGGAGAAGCCGTAGGCCTCGTAGCGCTCCATGCCGCCGCCGCGCCGGCCGGGAAAGGCCGCCCTTCCGGGGAGGGACGGCGGGAGGAGCCGGCGCGTCCCGTCCGAGGCCGCTGCCGGGTGGGAAGGGGCGCGGGGGGTGCGGCCGCCTGTGGCCCGCACGCGTGGGGGTTCCCTGAGGGAAGAGCGGAAACCCCCCGGTCGGAATGCCTGGGTGTTGGTAGAGCCGTGTTTTCGGCGGGACAAGCGGGCGCCTCTCCGTGTCCCCAGGATGGAGCGGACGCACCAGCTGGAGCTGTTCCCTAACTACAACGTCACGCTGCTTCTCTTCCGACACGTGAAAAATGCCGCTGCTCTACGGAAAAAAGCCATGGAAGGATCCATCGAAGGAGCACTGATAAACCCTGCGATGGTGAGTGAGCCTTTGTGCCGTCCTGTTTGCGTGGAAATCCCCGTGGGAGCTCAGGGAAAAGTGACCTGTGCTTGTAGTCGCTGTCACACGACTTTATTTGCGTTACATTTCCTCCGCGCTCTGCTCAAACACCCTTCTTTGATTTCATTATTGTGTCTTACAGCGTCAGGGTTCGTCTGTGTAAAACAAAGAGCCATGGCAGGATTGGCCAAAACAATTAATTTCACATCCTACTAAATCAATGGCCTTGATTAATTTCACATCCTACTTGGTAGAGCTATTTAAATCTACTTCATGTGTAAAATGTAATGCTACTTGCTTCATGCTGTCAACTGTGTACTATTTGGACCCTTTTTTCTCATTTAAACCCATAACTAGTTTCAGAATCTAGGGGTTTTTTGTTAGAATTAGTAAAGCAGTAGTTAGGGAAGGGGGGGAAAGTAATTGGCAATTTATTGACAGAAGATTCATTAATGTGATTCTTTTTTTCAGAAGATTTCAGTAACCTGATTGAGAGAGGGTAATCTTTATTTTTATGACAAGTATTACCTCATGCAGGAAATAAACACATTGACTTCGGAAGAGCAAGAATTACTGAAATAATGAGGAGGATACTATTTTGTTCACTTCTATGACTGCAGACTTAGGCAATCAAAATTAAGTGGTCAGGAGTTTTCAGATTTTCATAAACGGTATGTTACATTTCTGTGTAATGGTTTCTGTCGTATTTTACAGATTGTAGATCCTTTTCAAATTCTCGTGGCAGCCAACAAAGCAGTACATCTACAAGAGATAGATAAAATGAAGACCAGAACTCTCTATGCAGAAATTATTTTCAACCTTTCACCAAACAACAATGTAAGATTTACTGAATAAATTTCTTTTTTTGCCAGAGCTTACTAAGATCCACACGGCCAAACTAAAATTCAGAGTAATAGAAGTTACTGTTATTTTTAATAGCACTAATATGCTGTTATTGTTTGTAGCTTGTCAGAATTGCATTAATGTAAAACATTTGTCAAGTTATACTCTTGGTGTGTTTGACCCAGTAACTAAAAAGATTGCTTATATGTAGCAAGAAAGTGACTCATAATATTTTTATGTTTTTTATCTTTTCTCAGATTTCAGATGCATTTAAAAATTTTGGCATTTCAGACAGTGACACAGCAGTACTCATTGTTCTGCTGGACAGCTACAAAACTGTAAAGCTGGAAGATATAGCATCTCAGGTGGAAGGCCAACAGGTTTCTCTAGATGAACTCCCCCAGCTAACAGACACTGCCAGAGTTAAAAAGGTGTGTAACCAAAAGAGAAGACTGGTGTAGAGAAAAGGGATAGTTTATTTAATAGTCTGATTAAATATCAGTGGACATAATTAACTTAGGATCTGTATTTCTTTAGCACTTAGGATCTGTATTTCTTTAACTTAGGATCTGTATTTCTTTAGTTTCCAGTGAACCTTGATTAGTTATTTCTTAAATTTTTTTAGTTGAAACAAGTTCTAGTTGTCACACCCCAACATCACAAAGATTTAAGTCTTCAAATTATTAACATTGTCATAAAAACCAATTCCAGATTGCTGCCTACCATTCAGGCACTTTTGCTTCCTGTTTTCTCGGTCAAATATCCGTTTAATTAAAAATTTCAGTCCTGAACAGTTTCATAATCTTAGGCAAATAAATACCCCAGTATGGGTGGCTAAAATAAAAACATGCTGATTAGCCGTTAGGAGCTGTTTTAGGGCATATGTGCTCTTAACAGATTACCATATGCTAGATAGGTATCTTGGAGCATGTGTGTTCTACATGATAAAATTCAAGTAACTTAAATCATCTTGATCGTGTCCATCAAAGTAATGATAGGAGACATGAATAAAATTGGACAAATCATAGCATTTAACATGTGGAGCCAAAAGTGCTGCTCTCATTCAGTTTCTTGATTTCCTTAGTCTTGCAGTTTCAGAATTTGCTTGGTTCCTCAGTCCCAATTTTGTCTTGCAGTCACAACAAGATAGAAAATTACAATGTAAGAATAGCAGAGAGGGGAAAATTTTTTCATGTATGTATATATTTTTAGAAGCTATGCGATAATTTTTTCCTTCCTTATACAGCTTTTCTGTTTTTCTTGTTCTTTTTTTTCTGCAGATATACAAAGTTACTCCGCAAGAAGAAAAAATCAGCACCTTATTGGATAGTGTTGTTTGCAGAATGTCAACGAAAGATGTCTTATGAAAATGCGGAAATACATTTTTTTAAAGGAAAAAGGACTTTTTAAGGTGTAAAAACACTTCATTGCAGTTCATCTTGCATTTCAGAGAAAGTGGAATAGTACTGAGTAGTTTGATGACATCTGATCTTTAACCAAGCTTGGATACCAAGCTTAGTAATCTTATCTGTGTTCTAAGCACAGAGAGCAATTTTGCCGTGCAAAGCAGAATTTGCCGTTAGTATTTCTGTCCTTTTTCTTGACAAGGGAAAATTGCCAGTGCTCTAAGCTGAACATAAACAGAAAGATTGGAAATCTCTACTTAATTTTCTCTTTTATCAACAATGATTTGCCAGTCCCAGACAGGATTCAAACATTCTAAATAATTTTTATTAACCTTCCCCGATTTGTTGTTTTGGTACACCTGATGGATGATACTCTTTCAAGGATACTACTGCCAGAAAAGGCATCTTTATGGCCCAAGTATTGCTGATGGAATACAAAAAGTAAAGTTTCCATAAACTATCAGCAGCATCTCCCTCCTTGTGCTAATGGTATAGAGCACTTCAGTGTTGGTGTTAAAGGATGATGATTTGTGCTTTTACATTATAGCATTACTGGATTATGCTCGGTGATGCTGACTTCCTAGGGCCTAGTTCCAGGTGCAGAATTCATAGACAAATTTGCACCATACATTTATTCACTTAAAATTGTCAATACAACTGACGCAGCATTCTGAAAAGATCATGGAACTTGTTTTGTTTTTTTTTGAACTGGTGTTAGGAAAGGCCATCAAAGGGAAGTAGGAAGACTGTTGATTTTCCAGTAGTCACCAGGTGCAAGAGCCCTGCATGAATATCATTTAATCACACACAGGCATCCTGTTTAAGTAAAACTACTGTCCTAGTTAGGTAGAAATGCATAGTTTGTTATTGTTATACTGTATTGTTTTTCTGGGATGTGCTAAAGCTGTATAGTTGTCTGCATTTCTTTTTCCTAACGTTCTCTGAGTTATTATGATTTGTGTACTTACAAGATACTTGGAAGAGTATGCCCCACATTCTTACATGTAGTGTTTGGAAAAACAAAACATATTTTGTCAGAGAGATAAGTCTGAGTTAGAGCTGAAATGTTGTCCAATACAGTAAACAGACCAGTGAACTGCCATGTAGACCTACTTTTGTCTGTATTGTTTCTGTATTTAATATGGAAATTCCTAGCTTGTGTTTTGCATTTTGATTTTGTTTAAGTCTTCCATCAGTTTAAACCCAACAGTACAAATACCATCTTTTTCTTACCAACCAGGCCAATGGCAAATTTAGTTCCCAAGTACCAAAGGAATTCCAAGATTTATCAAAAGAAAGGATTTGGGAGAAATCGCTGTGCTGACTTCTTGCTTTAAAGATGGTTTTACAGAATGCATCATCCTCTCTAAAGGGAAATGTGAGGCAGTAGTAAAAAATGGAGCTTGGAAGGGCTTGTGTCTTTTAAAAAAGATGTGTGTAACATCAGCATGTGAGAATGACCATGGAAAATAAAAGACTTGTTTTCCTTTTCTGACAGTCCAGTTGGTACATGGAACATATCATAAGATTTACTGGCTGAAGTACAATGTTTTTGGTAGCTTAAAATAACAGCAGACAGCTTTGCTTAAACCACAGCCTTTTTTGAACATGTGTAAAACATCTGTCCAGTCTCTTTAATATAGGAGAAATAGTAATAAAATGATCACTGCATAAAAGTTTTGACACACAAGTTGTGAAGTTGGGGTTACAGTTTCTACTTCTTGTTAGTCTATTCCATTGGTGCAGAAACATTAAATAGTTTGTTACTGTTGACATAAGGTAATTTGGGAAATTTTGAGACCCAAAATGAGGTATTTTCATGGGTGGATTTACAGGAAATTATTTTGGGAACTGAAGCCTCCAAAGTAGAACTCAGGCAGATGACTCGGGTCTGTTAGCAATGAAGACTATGCCCTGCAAGACCACAGGTTACCCCTAGTCCTAGTTGCATTATTCAGGTTAACCAGTTATTTACAGAAACTGGTAATAAACATAGATTTTGTTCACCCTGCAAAGTTACTCTTGTATTTCTGAACACACTAAAAATTAGTAAATTTGGATCTCTAATGTTACTGTTAAATCAGCCAAGGCAGTTTTCCAGCAAAGCAAAATTTTAAGAAGAAAAGATAGGTTTTTCAAAACATTTAATGTTCTGCTGCTGTCTCCTCTGAACTTTCATACCTGGTCTCCACTATCACAAGGTGAAAGAGGAAGCTGAAGTATTTTCAATACCTTATCTAGATCTCCAGGGCTTCAAAGGTAGGATTATACCTGCAGGATTTATAAATACGACAAATCCAAAATTATGATGTGTGGTCAGTTGTTCTAGCTTTTTTTTTCCTAGGTGGAGTGGTTTTTGGAATTTGGGGGTTTTTTTGCCTCTGCTGCCTTTTCAGTATTGCATGTATGA